AATTTTTAAGGTATGCATAGGTGAAATATTATCTCAGTTTCAAGTGATGGAATGTAAGGACTATTTGTCTAATGAAACAAGGATTTTTCCTGTTATGATTTATTGTTATTTCTACACATTGGCTAATTTGTCTGTAACAGAGTTGACAAACAATACCATAAAGACATCTGTTTTTTCATTAAAAGTAAAAAGGAAGTAACTTGTGTTTGGCAAGCACTGAATTATTAAAATTAAATATGTTTTCAATAAGATACTGAAAAAAAATGTTAGTGAAAAGTTTTTTTTCTTAACTTTCTGCAATGCCAAATGTATCTCCAATTATAGAATTATATGCAAGATGATTTTTATTTTCAGTGAAATGAATCATTAACACATATGACAATGATCTACTGTACATTTCATCTACAGATGACTTGTGATCATGAATACATGATCATAAGCTTGGATGCCAAATGGCCTGGCTCAGTGCATGACTCACGGATTTTCCGTGAGTCTGTGCTGTGTCAGCGCTTTGAGGAAGGCAAGTTAAATTTGGAACAGTACAAAACAACTTAGTGTTCATTTTAATTGACAAAGCAAAACTTATACAATTTTCCCCTTTTCTGTTCTGTGACAGGGCTTTTTGATGGTCTGTTGGTAGGAGACAGGGGTTATGCATGCCAGAGATTTTTACTAACCCCCTATCCTGACCAATGTTCCCTCTAAGCTGCGCGCGCGCGGCCGCGCAGAAGAAATAATGTGCCGCGCACACGCAAAAATGAGCTGGGAAAGCCATTTGATTGTATTCAAGTAAAAATGAAAGAACTGCAATGATCGGTTAAACCACTATAAAGTTGATATCGCTATAGAGTTAGAAACGGTGAATGCGGTTTACAGGTTTCATAGAAAGAGAATGATGTGCGCCAAATGAGTCGCTGTAGAAACCGAATACTTCAGTGGTTGCGGACGAAATAGCTCAAATCGAGAGCCAACGCAAACGCAATGACGTGAAATAAAACGTCCTCGTGTTTTAAAGAAGAGTGGCTTGATTAAGTGCTGGAAATAGCGGATGATGGGCACAGAACGGTAACAAAACTCAGAGATATTTACAGTCACACACAGGTGTATTGTGCAAACTGTACTTCATAGAGATGATTAGATAGCTATAGAAGCCATCACATTCACGTTTTTTTTTCTTTGAAAATATTGAACTTGCAGATCTCAGTTTAAATGCTTCAGTTTGTTTTCTATTCTCTTTTATCAGTTTAAATGCTTCAGTTTGTTTTGATATTATATTATATTAGGCCTATATTATAAACCTAATAAATAATTGACCTTGTTTTTTAATGGAGTCACTTATGCTCATCAAGGCTGTATTTATTTGATAGAACAGCATTTATTAAAAATAGAAATCTTTTCTAGCAATGTAAGTCTTTACTATCACTTTTTTTCCATTTAACACATCCTTGCTGAATAAAAGTATTAATAAAAAAGAAAAAAAATGTACTGACCCCAAACTTTTGAATAGTATAGTGTATATTGTAACGCAAAATTTCTATTTTGAATAAACACTGTTCTTTATAACTTTTTATTTATCAAAGAATCCTGAAAAATATCACCGGTCCCAAAGAATATTAAGCAGCACAACTGTTTCCAACATTGATTTTAAATTAAGTTTTAGTTTCTCTTTTATTGTCTCCCTTAGGAGAAATTTGTCTTAGGCAACCGGGAGAGCAGATCAAACATTATTAATAAAAAAAAATATTATTACACCATTCCAAAACATATAATTCCTATACAATCCTAGTAATACACCAACATTACATGTTACCCATCACATTACCCTCACCCACACAACAATTTCAATCACTTATTCAATAATTTGACAGATAATGGAATTAGAGAAAATTTGTATCTTTTCAGCTTACAGATTGGAACCCTATATCTCCTGCCCGAGGGCATTAGCTCATACTCCTTATGGAGAATATGGCTTTGGTCACCAATAATTTTAAGACTCTGCTTCCTAACAGACCTCTCAAAAATGTCCTGAAGAGAAAGTGGAGACAACATACCAATTATTTTTCCAGCTCTTCTAACCACATTTTGAAGTTGTGACCTAAGTTTAACAGTCAAATTTCCAAACCATATTGTAAAACCATAACATATTATAGATTCAATAGCTGATCTGTAAAACAGTAACATGATAGTTTTATCCACCCCATAAACCCTGAGCCTTCGCAAAAAATGCAAGCGCTGACTAGCTCGTGTACAAACATAGTCCACTTGATGACTCCATTGCAGCTGAGAATCAAAGTAGATACCTAAATACTTATATATTGTTACCTGCTCAACTTCCTCCTCATTAACTAAAATCGGACGGATCATGTGACACTGAAAATTCAGCTTTGCTTTACATGAATAAATTAAATTAAAGTATATTAAAATAGAAAACTTTTATTCTAAATTGCAATAGTATTTCACAATATTATTTTGTGAAATAATATTCAGTATTTTTGATCAAATAGATACAGCCTTGATGAGCCTAAGAAACTTCTTTTAAAAATTGACTGATCCCAAACTTTTGAACGGCAGTGTTTTATACTGTAAAAATATTTTCTCAGGTAACCTAAAATGTACATCATTTAGT